GCTTGCGGCGCCGCAGGAAGCTGCCGTTCTCGAACATGTCGCCGCAGTCGGGGTGCAGCGCCCAGAAACTGCCCTTGCCGGGCTGGTCGGGCCGCCGCGGGATCTTGATGAAGCAGTCGTTGAAGGAGAGGTTGTGGCGCAGGCTGTTCTGCCAGCGCTGCGTGTGCTCGCGGTAGTAGGGGAAGCGCTCCATGATGAACTTGTAGATGTCGCTCAGAGGCAGCATCTTTTCGGCCGAGTGTTGGATGGCCATGGCGGTCAGCGAGATGTACGAGTAGGGCGGCTTCTGGTCGCTGTACGAACTCTTCCCCGGCCGAGGCATCGCCCCTGGCGCCTCCACCGCCCACCGGCTCCGCAGCCGGCTCCCGGGGCCTGGCTGTCTCCACTACTCCTCACTGCGCCCGCCCAGCCCCGCCACTCCACCCTCTTCCCCCTAAGGCCCTCCTGCCGCTTATCTCCCGCCTTCTCTCAGCTGCCTGTGATTTCCGCGCTCGACCTCTTGGGCCAACTTAGCTCTGGATGCTCACAACTTCTGGCCCCGACGGCCGCCGACCCGAGCGCACAGGCGCGGGCGGGGCGCGCCAGCTTCACCGCCACCCTCGCGGCGTCTTCCCTGGGATGGCCAGAGACTGAGCTCCGGAGCAGGCGTTGGAAGAGTGGGGAGGGGCCGTGTTCTCTTCCGGTCTCCTTGCTTTTTCTTGGTCCGAGGGAAGCGCAGGCCAAGTGGGCTGGGAGGAAGGACTGGACAGTCAGGACTCTGGCCGTTTAAATCCGAAATGACACTCGCTGTCCAGGAGGCGGGGGAAGGCTGCTCCCTGCTCCGCCACTTAGTCCACCCTGGAGTTCTGTGTTCCTGGATAGGAGAAGCAAGGTAAGGAGAAGGAAGCCCGGCTCCGGGCAGCCTGCGTCAGTCACCTTTTCCTCCAGCAGCTCGCGGCGGAGCCGGGGACAGAGCTGTGGGCGGTCGCTGGCGGGGAAAAGTTTGGTGGCTTCTGCAGGCGCGGAGCATGCAGGCTTTGAGGAGGGGCGGGGGCGCGGGGCGGGGA